GGAAGATTTGTAATGGCTTATGGGGAAAAAGTTGTTTGAACAAAAGAAACTGTTAAATTACTTTCACAAGTAGAATAACTATGGCCTAAAACTGTTTTATTAAATAATATTGTTATCGGCCAAAGTCATTAAGATTTCTGAGAACCTAAATCAATATTTAGTACCGCTGCACTTAGCATTGAAAAAATAGTTAATATGTTAATTACTTGGGTCATTCCTTTAAAAGACTGTTCGGTCATAAGAAAATTGCATCTCCACGCGTTTTTGGTTTTGGTGCTGGCTTAAACTGTACTGTCAGCAAATGTCCTGTGCCACTTTATAGAAATTAAAAATAGTAAATTAAGCCATAGGGAGCCCTTAAGTATATCATTTTATAAGAAAGTAGGTTTAAACAAGGGAACTTCACTGTAAACAGGTGTGTCTTGTAAGACTGAGTTCTGGCATCAGAACATATGACGCAGCAGCTACAGTTAAGACTGTGGCGTCTCTGATGTTGGAACCAATGGCCAAGGTTACCATTTCCCCATAATGGCTCTGAGTGCTCGTCGAGGCTGTGTCTTGAGGTTTGTGTGCTGCTGAGAAGGCGTGCTCGACTTGAGATGCCATTTGCTGTTCATGTTGTAGGACACCAGTGCCTGGGATGGAAACCCACATTCCTGTTATATTCCTTGACTTAAATGGTAAGTGAGGAGGTGTTTTCTGAAGGCTCACCTCCGACAAGTTAGTGCCTGCGTGACACTGAGATTCTAACCCAGTGTGTCATCAGGCAATTCTGTCTGCCAAAGATTGGAGTCCATCTCATGTGTGCCCACACACTCTGGTCCTTGACGGAGACTGAATCGTTTAAGAGTTGTGTTTTTGTAGCAGTAGAAGGAATGCTGCTTCATCATGCACGACCCACGGTGCTGTGGGACGCTCTGTTCTCCCAACAGGTTAGGATGGTGGTAATGTTTTCCTGCACTTAAAGTATTTTCTTTAATTCCTGGGGAAAGCTGTCTCTCTGGAAAGGAATAATAACTAGCGATACTTACATGGCATGTTTTCTTCTTCTGGTGTTTTCTTAGCGTTATCTAATAAATTTCTCAACCTTCTCTGTGAGTGCTGGTGCCATGCATCCCTGCCTTGCCTTTTTTTTTTTTTTTTAAAGTAACTGATCCCCTCCCCCATGTGAAATGTTTTGGGTCTGGTACATTTTACATCCATTCTGCCTGTTGGAAGAAAAATAGGAAATGGAAAGGTAGATTAAGGAGCTAAAAATAAGTTAAAAGTCAGCAGTTATATTCCTACAACATCTGCAGGAGAACTGTGTATTAAAATTAACTCTCCTGAATAGACACGCTTGGATGTCTTCAGTGGTTTTCTTCCACTGGGCTGACAGTGAGTTATACATATTAGCATCCTGTGCTACTTAGCTTACTTATATGGAAGATTTTTACAAACATGCGGAGTTGGAGAGCAACACTGAGCTCTGCCACCGCCGTCTGGCCGCCTGCTGGGATGGGAGCTGCTTTCTTACTGCACTGCTGTAAGAGCCTGTCCTAACTCGTTCTCTTGAAGCTTGGGGACTGAGGGTGGCTCTGGCCTGTTCCTGTGTTAGGCTTCCTGGATGGGCAAGGGACTCATGTCTGTAGTTGGGGGTGCGTGAGAAAGTGGAAAAAAAGTAAGGAAGACCAGTTAGTCTGGATATCCGCAGAGATGATCAGGACTTTGGTCGGCCTCAGGCACGTTTTTGACTCCAACACGCCCACTTACTAGAAAAGGCACTTTAGTGTCTGTTCACAGGCTACGGTGGCAGGGAGCTGGGAGGGCCGTGGTACAATACTCAGTTTCTAGCGCGTGGAGCTGGTGGATCCTTTTGTTGAACTTAACTGGAATCACTCTTGCTTATTTCTCATTTCTTCAGTGTGCTAAAAGGTGGAATTTGGGTTACAATCCTATTGTTGACATTTATGAGTGGACATCGAATAACCTCTTGGGTATCTTGGCTTCATTTGCTTTTGGTGTAAAATAAGGCATAAATGTGGCTGATTGGATAAGATAATTTCTTGAGGCACTTTCTGTCTCTAAGATCTGTGAACTTTTGAATGGTTATCATCAGTGTCGTGAAGATTTCAGAGCAAAAAGCAAATGAAATTGGAAGCAGAAGAATTTTAATAAGCACACGGAGATTTAGCTGGGAGGGTTATCCTTTAAAACGATCTCAGTACTTACTGGAACATCTTTGCTTTTAGCTGATGATTTCAGCTCTCAGGATAATCTCGATGACCCAGAAGCTGGCGGGTGGGATGCTACCCTGACGGGGGAAGAGGAAGAGGAGTTCTTTGAGTTGCAGATTGTAAAACATCATGAAGGAGAGGTGAGTGCTGCGTGACTAGGGAAGATCAGATAAAAAGTCATTTCCTTACCCTGCCCTTAAGGCTTTCAAAACCATCGGCAAGGTGACCATTTCCATGCTTACATATCTCAGAATACATAAATGAAAACCTTTCATTATGACTTCGAGAAGGAACAGAACTTGAATGTCAGGTGACGTCCATCTGCCTTCCCGCTTCCTCTGCTGGTGACCGCTCCCAGTTAGCGCGAGTAGCTCGGGTCCGCAGGATGCGGGAGCCTCATGCTCTGTCCTGTCAGCAGTGGCGGGAGCAAGTGTCCCTGCAGCGTGCAGAGGCGAAATGGCACGATGTTTGGGATTCGCTTTGAAATTCTTGCGTAAGGATTTCTTAAAAAGGCAAAAAAGAATCGTCGAAGGCAATGTGGCGAAATCTTGACTTTAGCGGTTGAATCTGAGTGATGGGTATAGCATGGGAGTTTATTTTCTAATTTTGAGTACGTTTGAAAAATTACAAAATATTTTCAGGAGGAAAAGTTGTGTGATGGTCTGAGGACACAGCGTTACTTAGTGGTGTCCCTAACTAAGATGCAAAACTGGGATGGGATCTAACGCTGAGGAGACAGACACACCTGGTGGCGGTACGTTCTATGGAACAGCGGGTCTGCGCCCTTCCGGTCTGTGTCAAAAGCACCACCGAGAAAGGCCGAGGCGCGACTCTAGGGTAAAGTAGGCTGGGGGGGTGACAGCTCGGTGCAACTCGTGATCCTGGGCTGGGAAAACTGAAACATTTGAATATGATTCTGTATTAAATAATAACGTCGTATTGATGTTAAATTTTCCAAATGTGATAATTGCAGCGTACTCGAAAGTGATTCACAATAATGATAACGTTTGTGCGTCGTGAGAGGGAGAAGCAAAAGTGACCACATGCTTACAGTTGGGGAATCTCGATGTGAGGTATATAGGACATCACTGTACTGAATTTTTGCAGCTTTTCTTGATATTTGAGCATTTTTCAAAATAAAAAAATTTTAAGAACAGCCCAGCCAGGAGCGTCATGCTCTGTATTTTCCGGGCCGAGGACTGAGGTCGCGCCCTCACCTCCCTCGTCGTGCACGGCAGTTCTCACGGTAGAACCTCGCACGTGGCCGGCCGGTCCCCCTCCAGCCCAAGCCGAGATGGGATCCTTGAGAGCGTTTTTGTTTCTGTGGAGAAGAGGGAAGAGCATTTTCTGTCTGCTCTGCAGGTTAAAGCAGAAGCCTCCTGGGACTCCGCGGTGCACGACTGCCCCCAGCTCAGCAAGGGCACGCCCGGCGACGAGCGGGTGTTTCTGATCGTGCGCGTCACCGTGCAGCTCAGCCACCCCGCCGACATGCAGCTGGTGTTACGCAAGAGAATCTGCGTCCACGTTCACGGCCGGCAGGTGAGTCTTTAGTTCAACTTGAAGAAATGACTTTAACCACAGGTGCGACAGGAGGGCAGGGCTGTGACATGGTTGCCTGGGCCCCTGTCCAGGCAGGGGCTGGGAAACGCCAAGCTTTGCTTTGCCAGGTGCCTGTTGCTGTCCTGTAACCGTGCTTGCTGCAGGCCCCGAGTGCGTCATCCCGACTTCCTTCCTGGAGTATTAAATTGCTCTGCTGCATCTCTCTATGGCAAGTTCACAAACTACAGTCACTGTTGTGGGTGCCACACAGCCCTTCGATGGGCAAGTTCACGTGGGTCCCGCACAGCGAGGAGGTTCCCTGGCAGGCCAGCTGTTAGCTCCTCAGCACGGGGCTGCTGACCCTCCTCTGTCCAGAGCTTTTTCCCTTGCAGTCTTGGATTCGTATATTTGGCTTTGGGATCAAAAGGTGAATAAGACGTGAACCGGGCACAGCGGTATGTGTCTGTAGTCCCAGCTACTTAGGACGCTGAGGCAGGAGGATTGCTTGAGCCCAGGAGTTCAAGACTAGCTTAGGCAACATAGCAAGACCCCATCTCAAAGAAAAAAAAAACCAGTCTGTGTCCTTAAAGAGCCAGGTCAATTTGCATATGTAGATACATAGACAGACACCTGCTCCGTGTGGGGGTGAGGGCCATAGGGCAGGTGCTCCCCACTCGCCGTGAGGTCGCAGATGAAAGAATGAAGGGTTCAGACTGAGGAAGTCAGGGAAGGCTTTGAAGAGGAGGGCCGCATCTGACCTGGCACTTTACAGAAGAGGGGTGAGACCAGGCAAAGGAGAGGAGATGGCTGTTGCATGGAGAGGGGGAAACACATGTTTCGAGAGAGTGAGGAAGGACGGGCAGGCTCGGGACACCATGAGAAGCGCAGTGTGACAAGATGGACCTGGTGTGCCAAGGACTGTGGCCTTCAGCGTCGCTGCGGCTGGATTGTGAAGGGCCTTGTGCCGCGTGCAGGGGTTTAGTGGAGAACTTCTATGCAAGAACTTAAATTCTTCCTGTTACTGGTTGTGCCAATGGGAGGATTTGGGAGATCGCCTCTGGAGATCCTTTGTAACTGTCTTATCTCCCTTTCTTGAGGCATTCTCAATACACCGACTAAAACCAGGATAGATGAAAATCTTTTCATTTAAAAGAGCGCAGTCATGGTTGACAGGCTCCTAGATGTAATCTCCACCCCTAAAAATTAATCTTTAGTTCTAAATGTCACACTGATATCAATCTTTGAAATGAAGACTGGCGGTAATGCTGTTAAAATTGCAGCTCTTTAGCTTGGCAGTCCAACATCAATAAAACCCGGGTCGCAGGGTTAGCTGTAGATGTATGTGGTGTGTCTCCCGATCACTCTGTCTCCCTTTTCTTGTAAGTCTGTGAGGGACTGAAAAAGACACCCTGCTCCTGGGGCGCCTTTGGAGGAGTGATTTTCCATTTCAGAATGAGACATCCTGGTTGCCAGGCCCTGAGACTGACCTGGCCACAGCCACCGGGCCTGCAGCGGCTTCTGGCGGAAGGGTTCCCGGTTGGGTTCCTTGGTTTTTTCTTTTTTTTTTGGTTTTTTTTTTACTTTTGGGGCCAATTTGCCCCTTTTTTTTTTTCCTGGTTGAAATAATTTGGAAGTATTTTAAGGCATGCCATTTTCCCTCTCAATTTCAAATATTTCTTTTCTAAAAATTGCTTCTTTATAGCAAGAACAGAGCCTTCCATAATGACCTTAATCCATGCAGGTCAGCTTCACTAAATCCACACAAGTGGAAAACAAACACGACACGACAACACGGCAAGACAACAGTGGCACCCACACCTTCCTCCACCGCCCCTGTGAAAAAGACCGGCGTAACTGGCCTTGGCCCAGCACTGCAAGGCCGAAGTCAGGGAGGGAAGGGATGAAATAAACAACCTCTGTATTCTGAGATGCTAAAGTTGTTTAAGAAATTGACTAAAGATCATCGACTATGAAATAAAGTACCAGATAGGTTTGTGAAATTATGTATTTCTAAGACCAAATAGCTGGATCTCTGTTTTCTTTTGGGTTTTCACGTTTCTGCCTTCCCTCTTGCATGGGGGAAGAGGCTCGGTGCCCCTCGCACGTTCCCTCTCCTGCCTACCTTTATCCACCAGCGGCGCTCCACCCTCGTCCCCGCTCTCTCCAGCCTCTGCAGGGCATTTGCATCAGCAGCATCTTCAAATGAGTCATCTCTGCATTAATTCAACAGTTCAATCCTAACTGCAAGGAGCGCAGTCAGCATAAACAATGACCGTGCACTCTTAAATCATTCTTCGTAACGATCCTGCTTTAGTCAAGAATTTAATGCCTGAACTTGTCAATATTCCTGGGACAAGATGTCCATCATGCTGGGGGGATAAACGTGTGAGCATCACCCGTCCCTGTTTACATCTTAGTTGGAAGGTCATTTATTGTGTGGAAGTCAACAGTCTTATTTCTGTATCATTTAAGCAGAGTTTATCCAGCACCTACTGTTGGGTTCTGCACTTTACAGTTGGTACTGTTCCTGTGTTGGTTATAGGGCCTGTCATACACTGCAGGCATCTCACAAAATGATTCTGTGCTGTTTGTTTTGTGCTAGGACGGAGTCGAGGAAACCATATTTGGTGATTTGGATTTCACTTGTTTGGAATATGCTCTGTTTTCTTCTTGTTAGAATGAGCGCAGTCTTAGTAGAAAGATGAAATCTTAAAAAGAAAAAAAAAAAGAATGAGCGCAGTATCCTTTATGCCATCTTTTTGTTAAAGTAAACTCAGTTTTTGAGATGGGAAACCATGTGTTCTATTTTGTTTTTCTACAGGGTTTTGCTCAGAGTCTCCTAAAAAAGATGTCTCATCGAAGTTCTATTCCTGGCTGTGGAGTGACTTTTGAAATTGTCTCCAATATTCCAGAGGTGAAGGATCATATGCAATTTGAACTTACTGAAAATAAGCACTTAAAAAGAGCTAACTCCCTGAAAAGTCGCCTATGTATGAAGAAATACGTATGAAGTAAAAAGATATATTTAGGGAAATGCTGTAGATTTTTAGAGGAATCGCCGACTCTTAATTTCTACTAAAATGTACTGTGGCTTTAAAAGTTCTAGTTTTAATAATTTGTTGAAGAACTTTCTTTTGAAAAGCAAATCAACATCTTTTTACTCATAGAACAGAACAGAAGAAGGTAACTATGTAAGCCGTGAAGGGAGGTGCCATAGCATTGCATGGAGATCCATGTTTGATCTTGGAGTCAAACAGAAGTCTTGTTTCTGTCACTTATTAACAAAGTAAAACTTAGGAAAATTACTCTGAGCCTAAATTTTTTTATTTGTCAAATGGAGTTAGTAATACATTCTGCACAGAGATTTTAAGGAGTAAATGAGACAATGTGTACAAATCGTTGTGCACATACTAAACAAGTTGTACTTTCTGTTGTTGTTATTATACCTATTACTTTGTCAGTACTACTGTTATTTCTGTTTCTAAACTGAGATAGAGGATTCAGATAAGTGGAGCTTAAAATTATACCTGATAGAAGCTCGATGGAAGATGTGGCTTATATTACACATACTTCCTAATACGTAATTCCTGAATTATTAATAGGTGTTTCCCCCCAGGCAGTGGCACAGCTGGGGGAGGGGGTGCACCTCGCAGAGGCAGGGGAAGTGGGGGACCTAAGGAAGGACTCTGAAAAAGAGGGAGTCCCCTCTCCCCAATCACCATCAAAAAATGGGGAGGGAGTGAGGGGTGGAGACGTAGTTTCCTCGGAAGTGGAAGGATGAGGGTGTGCGACATCCGGGTGGGGGACACCCCTCCTGGACCACACCAGCAACACCGACACCGTTCTCTTCATTTCTGGACTTAAGATCTGTCCGTCGATTCTGTTGAGTATTTAAACAATAAGTGGACAATGTATATTTTAATACAGATACCAGTTTTTAGAAAAGAAAAAATAGATTACACAGTACTTGGGTTTTATTTTAGATATCTTGTATTGCAAAATGCTTTTCCTCTCAGATAACATGAGATAGTACTAGTTCTTTCCTAGATCCTCCAAGTGTTAGACTTATATAGTCAATATTAACTATTTATTTAATTTGGAGCCTGCTGAACATTTAAAAATTAAGCCTGTTTGCGGAGTTAGATTAGCTGCAAAATCTTGGGTCTGTAATAGATTGTGTGCTTCATTCACTCTTGTAAGATTTAGAACAAGCATACGTATATGTTTAGCTAGAGACTTGCTGTTTATTCTCTGTATATAAAGACTTTATTGTGTTTTTCCAGTGGTTTCAGATCTTAATAAATGGCTTGAGTGCAGCTGAGCAGCAGTGACGGCCACACTGAGCTGCCTTCACTGTCCCTTCTCTGTTTCATCTCCCCTCCCCCCTCCTTCCCTCCCTCCTGTAGTTTTCTTATCCATTTCAAAGGTGCCTCCATTCTTAAGTAATATGGTTTTAAAAGAGAATAAATGTGGGGGAATCAGCTTGAAGATAAACATAACCTCATGTGATTGGGCTGTTAATATTAATAATTAGCTAAACATCCAAGCTGGCTAACATCGTTTTCACATTATCAAATCCCGGTCATAAAGGAAAAATGAAACATAAAGCTGATTGTGTAAGGACTTAAAAAGATCCCTTAATCAAGTTTTATCATGAAAAAGCCCCCTAAAGTTTTTTGTGTTCCATGTTACAGAAACCATCAGGGCATCATGGCAAAAAAAAGTGGTCCCAGGCTAGGGAGCAACAGAGACAGTTTATTTCTCTCTCCTCACAAAATCGGGATAATGTCTGTTCCTGCAGAGGCTGAAGTATTTTGTGTCGGTGGTGAAAGACTATTCGGCCAGGAGTCAGGAGACGCAAGTTCTGGTCTTGCGTCCTTCGCTAATTATGTGGCCTTCCTCTCTTGTCACATGGGAAATGAGAACGAGTCCGTCTTTTCAAGGCTCGATGAATTACTGTAGGGAACAAAGTTTTTGTGAACTTAAGCCATCTTACAAATCCTCCCATATTTCAATCTGTTCTAAGGCTCATTTAAATTTTTAAAAATATCTTTGTCGTTAGAATGTTTTATAATTGATGGTATCCTAAAATTAATTGGCAGAGTTTTTTTTCTTAGTCGTATATAAAATTATGTTTTATCTTACAGTTGATGGCATTTAAGATGCGGTGGCATATGGATGTACGTTTTGTAGTTCTGACATTATTATAAGAAATGCACGAGTAAATAAAGTATCTGATTTTCCCTGAGGAGAGGAATTTACTATGAACCCACTTTACTTGAAATAATTAAATACTTGAACGCAGTCCCTCCGTGACTTGGGACTGTCCCATTCATGTGCACGGCCAGCTCACGCCGGAGGAGCAGGGACGGGTGGGCTGCACCAGGAAGTGCAGTGCGTGAGATTTCACCTACCTACGTCTCTTCTTGCTCGACTCTGAGCCTTTGGCTCTGCCACTCCAGGGTTGAGGACTGAGGCCAGCTTTGGAAACTGCCAGATTCTGAATGTGTCGTCCGCAGTAGGCTGCTCAGTAGTGGGGGCGAAACCTTATTTCTATTCTGTTCTCTGAACTGTGCCTACTTCCCGCCGGGGCGATTTGGGTCCCACCCTCTGTGTCATCCTAGCTCTTCTCTTGCTCCCCTCCTAGTTGTGGGGTGGGGGGAATGTTCCTGAATATTGTTGTTATGGTGGCCATGTTTCTGGCTAGACTCGAATCCGTTCTAACCCCGTCACGGTTTTGTTGTTGTTGGGGGTTTTTGCAATGGGAATAGGGAACGATTCTGTCCAGAATATGCTGTGTTTCAGCGATGCTCTGTTCAACTAGCCTTTCAAGTTAACTGGTAGGCTGATCACCATTTCCTTCTTGGAAAAATGAATTTTGAGTTCCAAAAGCTGACTTTAAAATGGGATTTTGGAATACATTCTATTAATATCTGTTCAGAATTCTGTGTAGATCAGGAAGCTTTTATGTTTTCTCTGGTAACATACTTAACGCACAACTCTCCGGCCTTCAGGATGCACAGGGCGTGGAGGAGCGAGAAGCGCTCGCGAGGATGGCCGCCAACGTGGAGAACCCGGCGTCGGCCGACGCCGAGGCTCACATCGAGAAGTACCTGCGCAGCGTGCTGGCCGTGGAAAACCTGCTCACCCTGGACCGCCTCCGCCAGGTCAGCCCGGCGGGTGTCGAGCCAGGACAGCGGCACTCAGCCAGCGGGCTCTGCGCGGGACTCTCTGTAGTTCCAGTGTTGTTGCATCCGAACTTCTGAAGAGCTGACTGTCACACGATTAACTTCGAATAATGCAGAGTGGTGGAGATTGGGTCATTTGGTCGTGTACAGCAGCAGCCATTATTTAAATAACTAGGAATGTCTGGGGACGGTGGATCCAGGCAACAGACGGTATTGCTCTTGGAGTGTGTCTCACGTGCATTTTTCCTCTCTGTATTTTCTGATTCACAGGAAGTTGCGGTGAAGGAACAGTTAACAGGAAAAGGGAAGTTGAATAGGAGGAGCATTAGCTCTCCAAATGTGAACAGAGTGAGTGCCTGGAATCCCAGTGCCGTGCTCTGCCTGGGATCTCCTTTCTGTCCTTTTAAATAACCCTTCTCCAACCTTTAAATCTCATCTCAGATGTCCCTTCCTTCCCTGGGTGTCTGTGCGTACCTCTGCCTCTGTTCCTACTAATATGTTAGAGGAAGCATCACACAAGTATTGCACTTCTCAGATGTTTCTCGTTTATCTTCCAGTCACCACTGCCTAGCGTAGACTGTAGATTTCCCGCGAATGTTTGTGGAACTAAACTAAAACTAGCCAAGTGCCCAGGACAAGCCAGTGACATTTTCTGGGCTTAAGTTAATTATTTTTAAATTGAGAAGTCTGGACTAGGTTTACAAACTGATTGCTCCAGACCATGCAGGGTAATATAAATGAGTAAAGTAGGCCAGGTTTGTTTCATAACGGTGGCTCAAGTTCGTTGTTTTTTAAAACATAGATTAGTTTATGGATATATCGAACTATGGGACTAATTCTTCACATAAGAAATATGCTTATGGCCCCTAGATTTATTGTTCCTCCCCTCATTTTTGCTAAAGATGTAGATATGAAAAATATAGCACTTTAGGAGAAAAGTCACCATACAAATGTTGTCGAAAGAGCAGCTAACCTTAGGCTAGTGTTCGAGGGAGAAGAGGGAGTGATAGGAAAGGTTACCCGCCAGAGAGCCACGTGGCCCCTCAGTGACCATAGAGTGACATCCTGACCATCTCAGACGGAAAGATCAGGACCACTCTCAGACGTTTAGAAATACCGCTTTAAGGTAAATGTGTTAAATATATTAAATTATACTGATCTATGCAGAGACTTGGTATTTGGGATCTGATAGTTTAAAATAAAGTTTGTGAGTTTATATTTGCTACGAATACCCAGAGAAAGGGATGATGAGCTCAGGCCATGGTAAGATAACAGTAACCTGACACCCTTCAAACAGAAGGGCGTCAGCAAATGCAATATCTCTTGGTGTTGCCTCGGTGTAAACTGGATGTCCAGGTCTTATGTGAACCTCGCGTCTGAAAATCGTTAGTAAACAATTCATTGTTTTTGGTGTCCCAGAGGCCACTAGCCTGCAGCGCTGGTCTTGGCAACCTCCCTGCTGCCTCCCAGCTTTGCCGTTGGGTTGACTGGGTCTCAGCCCCCACGTCCTGGACCACGTGCTGTGTACTTGGACACACAAAGGACTAATCCTCTTGTCTTTCTTCCTCAGTGGTCTGGAAGCCGACAAGATCTCATCCCATCATACAGTCTAGGCAGCAACAAAGTGAGTGTTTAAAACTATTTCCATCAGTTTGAGACTTACTTCCCTTTTAACTTTGATCTTCTCAAATACCACATTGCTTTTGCGTGCCAGAAGGTCTCCTACTCCCCACACTATGTGAAATTTATTGGACAGTGTGTAGCGTTCATCTCTTCTAACCTGCCAGCTAAAATAAGGTTTACTAGACCCTCTTACTGTCGGGGTTAAAAACAAGTTATTTTGCTAAAGTTCATATTTCTGTCTAAACTTTTCTTCCTATTTCTGTCAGAAAAGGAACCTCAAATCAGATTTTTAATAGTCAAGTATTGAAATAATGATTGAAAACTTTATGAAGAATAAGAAGATTATGCCTAAAACTTAGTATTATTAGTTAAAAGAAAGAAAAATAAGGAAACAGAAATTTTGTTAGCTGGAATTCATCTATTTCCTCATTAACAGAACTTCCCCTGTTTAACAGAGTCTTCGGCATAGGTAAGTCTTACTTAAAAGAGGTTAGCACTCCTTGAAATCCATACCTGAATGCCACACATCACAGTCTGTGCCTGTCGTTTTTGAGGGGCCCGGTTAGATGCTGGCGCTTGCAGCTGTGTGCTGCCCGCTCGGTGTTGACGTCGCAGCTGTGGGGGAGGGCGGTGGTGGGTGTCATCGTGCCGGACGGTGAGCTGTGGGGGAGTCGTCGTTAAACGATCTGGGGTGCGGAGGACAGGAGTAGATCAGAGACAGGCTGTTTCACGGTGATTATTAAGGCCGAATGGAGGACATTGTACTATTTCTGTTGTCAGTTACTCTACACTGTTTTTGTATGTTTGACATTTTCCTTATGACAACTTAGGGAGCACGATAGAGATGAAGTTGATGAATCCGTGACATTTGTAAGATCTAGATTACCAGTCATTTGCCTGAAATAATACGTATGTTTACAGACACGTAAATTACTACCCGCTCATTGGTGCATGTGAGCACGTGCGTGGACACGGGTCTGTGCACGTGTGCTAAAGTGCGGTACTCGCTCACATCCAACCAGCAGCGGGCTTGATTTGCTAAGCTTAGCGTAAGTTGTGATTACCTGAAAAAAGCAGAGTTTTTGGAAAATTGTAGAGTCATTTTTAAATATAAATAAAACGTCCTAAGGAAAATATATTTATAAGAAAGGACATGACTCTCTCTGTTTTTGGGGAAGTGTATCTAACCCAAATCTTCAATTGTAAGGTCCCGGAAAGAACTGACCAGGATTCATCTTAAAATGCACACATAGTGGAAAGCAATGGTGTCTTCCTCAAAGAAAGTTACCGTGACTCTTCTGCGCCAGTCAGTACACAAGAAGGAGCAGTGACGTTGTGATAGGGGGACGTAGGCAGAGCCGGAGTGCGACAGGGGTAGACGGCCCATAGACATCACCCAGGGAGCACGGGGGACCGCTGGGCGGGCGTCATTCCTGAGCACCCACTGGAGGGTGCCCAGGTCAGACGAGGCTGGGGAGAGGCACCCGCGTGAGCACCGCTGGCGGCTGAGGACGCCTGCTGTGTTCAGGATGGTACACCTGGGCGAGGGTCGCGTGGCGGGAGTGTGTGGGCAGAACCCGGACAGGGGGGCCTCCCGTAGGCACCCTCACAGGTGAGCCGAGGAGGAACTGAGGCCTCGTGGGGAGGCACAGCTGTGATTACATCAGTGACATCTGCCTTGCAGACTCGTGTGCGCTGTTTCTGGGGTCGTGTTCCATTAGTCCATGTGTCTGTCCCTCTGATGCTGATGACACGTCAGATTATAGACTGCAGGGTCTGTGTGCCGTGTCTTCCGTGCCACATGCCACCACACCGCACGGGAGCTCTCGGGGCAGCTGGAACGATGTTCAGAAGCAGGGCGGGGCCCCGCAGAGGGTCACGTGTCCCCCCCCACCCTCTTAGTTTTCAGCAAGTATCAGAGCACAGAGTCCTCAGTTGGGCACAAGAGTGACACTGAGAGGGAGGCAGGAGTGGAAGAGTTTGGTAGGATTAGGGCCACTGGGAGGTAAGAGGGAGTGGTAAGTTTCTAAAACCAAACTCTCAGTTTGGCCTGATGTCACTTGGAAGTAGGCCAGCCGCGTTCTCCACCCTTCCTTGCTGCTGCTACACCACGACTGAATTGATGAACTGATTAACCTGGGGAAAAAAAATGGAATTTGATTATTCCAAATTTTAAATTCACCATAGGGCCTAAAATAAAATCACTCTTGGGATAAGCCTTTCAGTGGAAAATATAAAATATGATCGCTAATTGAAGCGCTGTTACTATTCACCGTTATTGGATGTTTCATCGTTATTGTGAGCATGTTTTCTGTCGGTAAAATGAAAACTTGGTAGGCTCTTCGTGACTATCTACCAAGACCGAGCGATGCTGGGCACGGAGTTAATCTGGGCAGTCACTGGGCTTTCCTCCCCAGGGTGGCCGTGCGTCGAGCTCCTCTGCAAGTAACACTCAACAATAATATCGGTATTTGTAAAGTTATTTTAGGGAAGATTATGTTTTAATAAACTAGTAAGTGGTGTGTTTGTCATCTTCTGGTGGGAGTTTTTGATGAAGTTAACATCAGCCAGTAGCTTGTACAGGATCCAGATCACTTAGGACTGTTGGCTCCTGTGATCAGTACTTAGGTTGCTGCTGAGAGCAGATAGGTTTCCAATACGTGTCTGAAACCCAAGAAGCCTTTCCACCTCGATCCATCTTTAAGAGCAGCCGAGAATGTGCTGTTCCCATCCTGCTTTTCGGGCAATTAGTAAAGAAAACTTGAGGTAATCATTAGGGTCATTCATCTGTGAAACGCTAGCTTAAACTCGTATTGCATGCCATTATTAAACTCTAGTGAAAAAGAAGTTAGTGATTATCAGAGGATCAAAGGGAACTTAAAGCATTTAAATGATTTGTAGCTCATTTCTTACTGAATTTTGTACAAGTAACGTTTGGGGTTTGTTTCTTCGTTAAACAGGGCTGATGTTAAAAGTGCTTTAAAGGCATCACCATTTTTACAGCTTACCTTGGGTTTTAGGAATGGTCTTTTAATCCATCAACTGATGAAATCTCTTTAATGGGAATTTACAAAATAGGCTGAGGATACAATAAAATTTGTTAATTCAGAGACTTCCATAATTGAGAACTTGTGGTTATTTGACTTGGATTTAACTGGAATTTATTATCTTCAATAGCTATTAAAAGTGAGAGGCTTGGTAATATACTGAGAATTTTTACTTTTGTGAACTATGCGTGAAAACACGTTTTGTGGGGGGGAAGGGAGGCACCTCCTGAAGGTAGAGCGTTCGCAGGTTTCAGGTGGGAGCGGAGTGAGGAAGGGTGTCTTGAGGCAGGATGGCAGCCACAGCCTCAGAGGCAGAACTTAACGGAGGACTGAGGGAAAGGAAAATCCTCATACATCCACGTTTTATAGGGAGGACACATGATGTACGCCGTGGAAAGAATGTCAGAGTAGAACTCATTAGGAGTTGTAAAGTGGGGCAAGATCCAAATGTGGGGTGTTAACAATTATTAGGAAAATTAATATTAATACAACAAGCAAGATGACAAGTATAAGAAGAAATATGCTCATTTAATCAAACTTACCATGTCCTGTAAAGGGACTAAAGCTTCAGTGATATATAACAGTTTTTCTTGAATATCTTTAAATTTTTTTGTTAACTGATTAATTTGAAACAAGGTTACCCACTCTTTCCTAGGGCCGGTGGGAAAGTCAGCAGGACGTATCCCAGACGACAGTGTCCAGTGGAGTGGCTCCAGTCCCCCCTGTCCTGCCTGTTTGTCCCCAAAATAACCATTCTCCGGATCCAGGTAAGTTCTCTTTTCATTTCTCAATCACTACCAGGAAGTGTGAGCACTGCCAGAAAGCTTCAGTGAGGATTTCCTGCCAGGTAACCTCTGTTCTGCTAGTTAGTGTCCATCTGAACTTTTTCCCTTTCTTGTCTTACTTAACAAGTTGAATTACATTGATTTTGGAATGTTGAATTTATCTTGCATTCCTCTGATAAATACCACTTTATCTTGGTCCATTATCCTTTGCATTGCTTGACTCTCTTGGCTAATATTTTGTTAAGGGTTTTGGGGGTATGTGCTCTATAATGAATATCTGTCTGTAGTTTTTTATTTTCTCTTATTCATGTCTTAAGTTTATGTGTTTCCATTGGCTTCATAAAATGACTTGGGAGATGTTTTTCCCCATCTTTTTTCTGGAAGAGTTTATGTAAGATTGGTATTCCTTCTTCCTTAAATGTTTGACAGAATTCCCTAGTGACACTCTCTGGGACTGGTACCTTCTTTGTGGGAAGATTTTAAATGATGACTTGAGTTTCTTTAATACAGGGTTATTTAGTTTTTTTATCCTGTTATGAGTTAGTTTTTCAAAGTTATGTCTTTCAAGGAATTTTCTATTTCATCCAGATTATTAAATTTATTTTCATAAATGTCACATTACCC